TTTTTTTAAAGTCAATTAAACAATTGGGAAAAATTAAATTTATAATTTATTGAGTTTTAATAATTTTTATGAAAAATAATAATGATTATCATTATTTTATTCATTTTGTCGATTGTTGCATCATTGTATTGGAGAAAATTAAAACTGTAAAATTTATTATTCATTAAAATTTCAAGAAAAACGAAATAGATTCGCAAGAGTGTGGATAAATCGAAATATTGTATAATGTAGATCATTTATATCTAGAATTCCATCAACCAGAAATATATTTTCACAGTTTTGCCTCAATTTTATTGTATTTAAGTAAATTATACAATTCAACAAAATTTAATTTATGATTTATAAAAATTAAACAGTACTCATTAAAAATAATAATGATTATTATCACTATCTCATTTATTTCTTCGATCGTTCCATCAATTCATCGCCGAAAAAAATTGAAAATAAAAATTTTTAATTCATCATTTACCAAAATTTCAATCGATCTCAGTTTCGTTTAATAACAGCGAAACTGAGATCGATATCAGGAGTCGGCGTTTAGCTATACAGGTCATAGGTCGAGAACTCCCGGTTCCGGTGTCGGGTCTCTTCACAGTCCGTGCGACTTCTTGACTTCATTTCAGTATAAAGGTATCGTTTAAAATCGATGCCCAGAGACGTTAAGCCGACATGTCTCGTCGCCGGAAGACTGTATTCAATTAATTTCTCCTTTGTTCCCTTTTTTCCGTTCTCCATCGGTGTATGCACACTAAGAGAAAAATCGACATAATATCACAAAAATCATTCCTTGAGCGAAAAACATCGCATACATATTTGATCAATTTATGGTAGGTTTCAGACAAGAAATCAGTACTCTTCGGGCTAAGGAGGAAGTTAGTGAATGAAAAGGCGATGTCTTTTTTCGAAATGAGATAATATTCCTTAAAAGACAAGAATAGTTTGACAGAAGGAAAAGAAGATATTGCTTCCCTTCCAACTCAAAAGCGATTGAGCGATTGAGCGTAAGCGACGGTTATATTTTTTTTAATATCTGGAGGTTTTCCTCTGCATAAACTCTCTATTTATTCGATATGAAAACCTCTGATTCATGATTCACTGAATCGAAGCTTTTATTATAATATTTTTAGTCATTTTCTCATCTTCTGATACGAAAAAACCGATTTCTTGTGGCAAGAAATTCTCACCTTATCATGAAATGTTCATGTTCAAGTGATGAACACTTCACCGAAATCTGACATTGTCTGACACATTATCCGGAATTCTTCTCCCAAAAAATTTATCCTCAAGAGATGAGATATTTGGCACAAGAAATTAGTTTTGTGATGTTATGAGGATATTTCTCTCAGTGCACTGTCTAATGTGGAATACGATGGCGAATTATTTGATTGGGCTAGTAGTAATTCAGGCTGAGTACGCAAGTCGTCATTTTTATGGTAGCGACTACCATGTCAGAGACGAGGTGAGATAGAAAGGTTTATTAAGCATCCGGTTAACACGTGCTGACACATCTGTTTCGGGTTATGTAACTGGTGTGGAATAATAGTTGTTGTTCTTTGATACACCATAAAGGGAGGCGTGCAGGTTTTTTTTCATGCAAATCGAATGAATGAAGGATATTTTGTAATTATTTGCTCAATTATTGATTTCAAATGGAAGCATTGTACTTGTCAAATCCAAAATTTCCCATTTTTTGGGACAGGATAACTAGTATTGGCCGCAGGAGGTCGAATATACTATTTTTAAACCAAATCCATGTCTTCTCAACTAGGCGACATTGCAACTAATAACGTTTAACCCTAGATTGGTCACCCTATGAAACCCCGTCATTCGCCGTCGTTTTTCTTTAATTACAATTCAGTAGCGAAGTGGTAAAACGATTTAAGTCGACTCATCTTCCAGTTGAATTTTTGACGAATATTTCCAAATCTAAGGGAGATAGTGAAATTTTCGTATTGACATTTGTTGTAGTTCTCAATCGGCTCTACACAAAAGATTATGATAAAAATTTCGCTATCTCCCTTAGATTCCGAGATATTCATTGAAAACTGGTTAATGGTCAAAATTGACTTGTACCGTTTTACCACTTCGCTACTGAATTGAATGAGTGAAATGCTAGAAAAGCGCGGCTACTTAAGGGGTAACGGAAGCGGTCGCAAAAGTTGTTTTTTTTTTAATTAAATTTTTCTCCGATTCTATTAAATATGAATGGCTGAAATTTTAACCAAGTATTGAGGAGAGGTTACGGAAAGGTTTAACGGATTCCATTGACTATTTATTGGCAGAAAAAAAATTTTCTGCAAATTTTTTTGACTATTTATTGGCAAAAAAATTTGCAGGAAAAAAATTCAGCCATTCATATTGGATAGAATCGAAGAAAAATTAAATGAAAAAAAAACAAACAATTTTCGCGACCGCTTCCGTTACCCCTTAAGGGTTATTGTATGCAATCATCATTTATAAAAAATCTAATTACACAATATGCCGAATAGATTGGCTTCAAAAAACGTTACACTTGATGTATTATATATTTTAAAAAATACAATACATTCCTGAAACTTTCCCTTCGGATAACTTGATATTAACTTCAGAAATCTAATACAACACTATTCACTACAATTGACATCAAGCCTCATGGAGTAGGATATATACTCGCGCGAAGCGCGTGGACTAATCTAGTTGTGAAAAAAAAATCTTTGGAAAAAAAAATTGCATATTTTTCCCCTCAAACATATCTCCAGATAAAAGAAAACTGAAATTTCACCAAATTTTTCTTTTGATATTTTCTCTTTATTCATCTGAAAGGGCGAATAATTATCCAAAAATGCATTGACATCCCTACGACGAGTAAACATTAGAAAATGGAAATGGGTGAAAGTAGAAAAATGCCCCCAAGCAGTCAAATAATTCAAATATACTATTGTAGAACAGTACAAAGATCGACATAGGGCTCGAAATTTTTTTGTTCTCAACGTCTATTTCAAACCAGAGGATGTGCGGATAAAATTTTGTCCGTTCCAGGTAAAACCTTTAAATATATTCAGGTCACCATTGAATCCACATATTTAACGGTGAAAACTTCTCGACTGCCATTGTCACGTGGTGGTGGAGCACCTGCGGTGTCTTTCGGGCTCTATGTCGTCAAAAAAAAACCTGTATTCCAGTGGTCATTAGGGTTCGGTCACACGTCCATGAAAATTTTTATTCATTGAATGAATTATTTTCACAAGATACTCTTAATTCCCTAAAAATACAAAATTACCATTCAAATTCACGGATTCTTATGCTAATGGGGCTTCGTGTTTTGGAAAAATTGTGTCGTGAAGAAAAAAATTGACAAGGTCATGACAGTCAATGGGCAATGAATTTATAAATAGGTGAGTAGTTGGGACAATCGTGAAGGCTCAACACTTGTCATCGTAAATATTGGTTGAATTATTTTATTCTTGACGTCGCAATGTGGGTAATGAGGCGTAACTGCTTCGGGATTTCATGGATGGTATGAATTTAATGGGTTTATTGTTGTTGCCTTTGAATGGAAGCCTCATTTTCGACCGTTTNTTCTCATGAATAAATAAACAGAGTATTGAGAGTTGAAAAGGATTCTTTTAGTCAAAATGGGAGGAATAATAATATCGGGAAGTTGTTGGTGCGACCCGTCCGACGGGTCAGACCCACATGAATACATCCGCTACCAACTCACCCGCAATGGGAGCGAGCGCAGCGAGCGACCAACAGCCCAATCCACTAGTTATTTTATAATTTTGATTGCAAATGGTCCAGAATGTTATGAAACGCGAAAAAATTATGTTTTGAACTAATTTCCTGCTGCAAGTTATCGATATTTTTACAAATCAAAGCACATTAATCTCCAGAAAGCGACGATAAAGATCAATGTGCTTTGGGTTAAAAAGGTATTGATAACTTTGAGGAAGAAATTGTTGAAAATGTCGAGGAAACGGTGGTTCTGTTACCCCTTAAGGAAACATGTCATCTGAATTGACAATTTCCTACAAAAGTTATCTTCAAAAATCAAATAAGAAGACGAAAATGATCACATCAAAACGTCCTGAATTAATTATGAAAAACTTGAACAAAAAGTTTAAAGAAAAACATGAAACAAAATTGTTTGTTTAGGTGTCCAACCATTGCTACCTCAAGAATTTTCATCCACTCATTCCGCGCGCTCGTAAAATGAAAAAAGACGGAGCTACGGCGGTCAGTTTCCTATTTAGATAGGAAAATAAAAATTGCCGTAAAAGAATAAAATTGAATAAATACATTACAAAGCTCCCCCGTCTCTGTATTTACCCGGTAACTGTAATTTACATAGTACAGCAAATGTACAAATTCAACCACACGCTCAGAAGGGAATTTCTTATGTACATTGTTCAGAGAGGGATAACATGGAGGAGTTCTCCCGACTCCTTGTGTACTTCTTTTCTACCTTATTGATCAGGGTATACTGTTGACCTAGTATCACATACGATTGGTATGTTCTCGATTCATATCTACTCGACTTCCGAATCAATCAATCGTATATTGTCCATCAGTTATGCATCAGTGTAGATCAATTGAGGGAAGTTTCGATTTAATTTCAGGAAAACTAGTCCTGTACAAATTGAACTATTAAAATTCAGTAGCGAAGGGGTAAAAGGAAATAAGTCAATTTTAACTATTGACCAGTTTTCAATCAATATCTCGGAATCTAAGGGAGATAGCAAAATTTTTGTTATAACCTTTTTTGTGGAGCCGATTGAGTGCTACAACAAATGTAATTATAAAAATTTCGCTATCTCCCTTAGATTTGGAAATATTCCTCAAAAACTCAACTGGGAGATAAGTCGACTCATCTCCGTTTACCACTTCACTACTGAATTAAATTTCCTGCAACTAGAATCTGACATTTTCCTCTAAACCCCTTCACGAAGTGAAGTAATCTTTAATTATGCATTTAATTAATTTAAGTAAACTAATAGCGACTCGAAATATTTGTGTTATAGGAAGAGAGCGTTTTCCATCATCAAGCAGTACAGACGACGATCAGAGTGGCTCTGACGTTGAGCACGATACCTCAGCAATTCGTGGCAAGCCCCACTCTGGTATTTTACATTCGGGTAATCACTCGGTGAGGAAGCGTCGTGGTAATTTACCAAAGCATTCAGTCAAGATATTGAAGAGATGGCTGTATGAGCACAGATACAATGCATATCCCAGTGACAGTGAAAAACTTACACTCAGTCAAGAGGCCAATCTCACTGTACTTCAGGTAAATAAACTTCGATATCTATTTCATTCACTTAAAAATGTACAAGTGAAGAAAATCTCATTGTAATTTCCACTTTTTTCAACTCATTCTGAATCTCAATGAAAAACGCTCTTTGAAAAAGTTCAGAATTTTTTCTTTTTTTTTTGTCATTCTTTCACAATTTTTGGGAATTTCTACATGATGTATCACTCAATTGACAATTTTAGATTACGAAAGATAAAAAAAATCCAGATAACATTCGAAAGATGGTACACCCGGACCTTAAATTTTTTTTTCGTCAACTTTTTTTAGTCTCGCAAGTACTGATGAGAATAATAATTTTGCATTTAGTAGAATGGAAAATTATTGAGAAGGTTTGATGGGCGAAGATTTTGTCAATGGATTATTCGATTGAATTTCAGCATCACATTTTCCTTTTTCCCCCTCTGGGTCTCCCCCTGGGCCTTGCTCTCGACTTTGGATTTTGTTGTTTCATTTTTTTTTTCAATTAATCCATTGACAAAATTTTCGCCCGTCAACACTTCTCAATAATTTTCCATTCAGTAGAAGGCAAAATTATTATTCTCATCAGTACTCCCAAGAATAAAAAAAAATTAAGTCCCGGGAGGATTATCTTTTAAACGTTATCTCGATTGTTTTTCCATCTTTATAATGCAAAATATATCACAATTTCCATTGGATCTTACATCACGCAGGATTTTTAAAAAATTATGATTGTACAATCAAAGTAGGAAAAAACTGAACATTTTCAAAGAGCATTTTTAATGGAGATTAAGAATTAAGTCCGATAGAGAGGAAATAGTGAATGGATAATTTACCATGGTAATGAACGATCTGATAGCCATTGACTACTGTGACAATTGACAACCTAACAGCCATTAGATACATCAAATTATTAATTTGCAATTTCCTCTCTATTGGGTTTATTTGCCAATATTATTCAAAAACGGTCTTTGAAAATGTTCAGTCTTTTTTCAACGTTTTTTTGATTGTACAATCATCATTGTTGAAGACTACAGGGCTATGTAAAACTGAGTAGCAAATGGAGATCATTTCAGATTGTCAAAATAAAAAAAACAACCGAGATGACGTTCGAAAGATAATTTACCCAGGCCTTAATAAAAAAATATTTAATAACAAAATTTCTTTGCTTGAATTGTGGCAAACAGTCGTTTTTTTTGACTGTTTCATTTTGCCCCACTCTCCCTTATCCAAATTTTCATTTTGCTCTCCTATGTTTTGTTATGAACAACTAGGGGGCTTCGCCCCCTGCTCGCTCCGCTCGTCAAGCCTGGGGGGGGGCTTCGCTCCCCCGCTCGCTTCGCTCGGTCCCCCCCGTCCGTGTGACCGCAGCGGTGTGACCGTACCCATAAACATCTTCCATATGAGCATCCCCTAATATAGTAATCCTCCATAAATATCGATATCCCCTTTATGACCACCCCCTCATATAGACATCCCTTATAAATACAGGCACCTCCCCATATAGGAACCCCCGTATAGGCACCCAGCGTCCCCTGAATTTAAGCGTCCCCTGAACTTGAGCGTCCCCTGAATTTTTCGCCTTATTTTTTTTTTATATAGATAGATAGATAATAAACTTTATGTCGCGCCGTGCAATAAGTCGAGTTTATCGCACGCTGCGCTTCGCGCAGCCTGCTCAAAACTCGACTTCTGCACGACTTGACATAAAATATTATCGAGCACTCGGTAATAAATTTCGTTTTCAACGAATGTGTAGTTTGCAGGCCGAGCCGAAGGCGAGAACGATTTCGAAAACGAAATTTGTGCCCTTGTACTCTAATGTACTATTATTGTTCAGAATTTTGAACAAAACATGATAAAAAAATAATATAGAGAGACAAAGCAAAAAATTCCTATAAAAAAAATGTAAAGAAAACGGATGCAAGAGAAATCAATATGTATGTAATATGACTTGCTTCTATAAAATATCTGTCAAAAAATCGGAGGAAATCGAAGGCAAATTTCAAAGGAATTCTCAAAGTATTTTCACACATCTTGGATTGAGGCAGTCATTGAGATGTTTTCAACTATACTATCAATATCTGGAGGGAATAGAATGTTGGTTGGTCGGTGATAACACATCGGAAGCAAATGCGTTATTTATTGTTGCAAAATTATAGGGAAGTGGGTCACTCACGCCGTCTCGTGATTCCCATTTCTTTTTTTCCCACTGATTGATGATTGATGGAAATAATAATATTGATGGCGTGAAGGCCTGAATGGATGTTTTGGTTATTTCCTGTTGGGTAATTTTAAAGATTGAATAGCTAAGATAGATAACACGGGGTTTGAAGATGATTTTAGTTTGTGAATGAATTTTCGAGGCAAACATGATTTTTAATTTAGTTTTTAGGATTGAAAAGCTACAAAAAAAAATGATCTAAATAAATTTTTTCTTCTCGCATACCCTTTCGGGTCTGTACGATTTGCTCCCTTATCGTAATTTCTACATGATGTACCACTCAATTCCCAATTTTGGATTACGAAAGATAAAAAAAATCCAGATGACATGCGAAAGATAGTACCCCCGGGCCTTAAGGATTTTTTTTTCTTCCTATTTTACATGAATGGCGCAAACTTTTATTTTAAACAAAACAAAATTCGCTCTCTAGGAGTCGAATTAAAAAAAAAAATTCGTAATTGTTACTGCACACATTTTTTCAAAAATTTTGACAAAAAAAGAAACCTCTGTAGCTCAAAAACTGAAGGCCGTGGACTATTTTCAACATTTTGAGCGTGTGTGGGGCGACCGAACAATAAACAATTAATTTTTTTGCATTAATTATTCGCCCGCAACTTTTAAAACTCATGGTAGTCTTCCCTTGAGTTGAAGAGGTGACAATTTCAGTTTAATTCGTTATTATTGGGACACTTGCAGGTATGCAACTGGTTCATCAACGCGCGGCGTCGTATTCTACCGGAAATGATACGACGAGAGGGGCACGATCCTTTGCAGTACACAATTTCACGAAGGGGCAAGAAAATGCCCGGCGGAAGCCACCAACAGGCGTCAGGACTCAGTCCATCTGCCAATCAAGATTGGGATTCACTAGCTTCGAGCGTACCTGCTAAACGGCGCAGAGATCACGATTATGAGGATCATGTCATGTACAGGTGAGTCTTCTGTTCTCATTACATAATGATCACCGTAAAAATTCAATAGTGCATTATTGATAAGATAATTTTTATCGACAATTATCTCGTTTATGAGCCATTCTAGAGGGAATTGTGGAGAGACGCTTTTTGTAAAGAATTTCCTCAGGTACAAAAAATGTCTCAACATTTATTTATTTTATTTATTTTATTTATTTTATTTATCTTATTTATTTTATTTATTTTACTTATTTTATTTATTGTCTTGCAAAATTAATCCAACAACCGAAGCCAATAATAGGATTCAAGAAAATGTATATTTCCTATTTGTATTTCGAATTTCTATTTCCAGATTTTGATAGGCATTACTGAAATGAGTGCATAATTAAGACAAATTTGTATGATTTCGCTAATTGTTCATCCTGGGTTTTCCTGGTAATGACAGCCTTTAGGGAAATTTTTTGTAAAACGATGGATGAAGTATTTTAAATCATCCGTTTTTACCACATCACATGACAATTCTCCCTTGAAAAACCCCATCGCGCTTAAATTTCTATTCAAAAAATTGACTTCCTCCGTATCCTTAAACATTCATAATGAAATTTTCCGGTATAAAAAATCCAGTGGATAAGTAGCTCAATGCTAATTTCTCTCGACTTTCCATAATCTCCTAAAAATGCAGAAAATTCGCATTAATAAATGTAACTGGATAAATTGCATTGATAAATTGATTCACTTTAATCTCTCAATAATTCAGGAAAAGAATTTTAATCGTCTTTATTTCATACCAGCTATTGTTATCGCTTAAAAAATACTTAACACTTAATTATCAATGATTTACCAGATAATTTCAAAGCTCGTAATGAATTTTAAATTAAACAAAAAAGAAAAGGTATTTTTAACACATAATTTCTCTTGGTAAATCACTCAATTCACATTTTCATTCATCTGAGAAATTGAAAAACTATCTTCTCTTATTTTTCATTTGTGTAGAAGAACTATAAACAAATTATAAACAAACTGTGAACAAAGGCACCCTTGTACGCATATTCTCACCCTATTCATAATATACTTAATATTTATCTCATTACGAATGCAAGAACATTGAGTTCTCGAATTAATACGCCACTTCCGATTGAATTCTTCATCCATCGACCTCTAACACGAATTTTATTTCTCATTTTCTTCGATAGCTCGGGGATTAATTTTAATTAAGACACTTTGAGCGCTCAAGTGGCAGTGACAACTGGTTGTCCCTTCGGAATAATTATGTATCAAAGTGGCTTTACGATTGTTAATTATAAAAGCTCTATTAGAAATAATAAACGTGGAAAGTCGAATGTGGAATTTTTGTGACTTATGCAATTATCTCGGTAATGAATGGATTTAGAGGAAAATTTTAGAGAGACTTTTTTGTGGAGAATTTCATTAGCTACAAAAAAGTTATTTTGACATTTTCCCCTAAAATCACGCATTAACAAAAAAATGCAAGATTAACAAAAATACAATTGCATATTTGAGTTTCGTGATTGAAAAAAATTGATCTTTATGGCAATGACAACTGGTTGTCCCTTCGGAATAATTATGTATCAAAGTGGCTTTACGATTGTTAATTATAAAAGCTCTATTAGAAATAAGAAACCTCGAAAGTCGAATGTGGAATTTTTGTGACTTATGCAATTATCTCGGTAATGAATGGATTTAGAGGAAAATTTTAGAGAGACTTTTTTGTGAAGAATTTCATTAGCTACAAAAAAGTTCGTCTGACATTTTCTCCTAAAATCACGCATTAACAAACAATTCAAGATTAACAAAAATACAATTGCATATTTGAGTTTCATGATTGAAAAAAATTGATCTTTATGTTTATTTTTTGCATGTAGGAGTGAAGAAGACAGTCCAAACGATTACGAGAGCAGTTCTCACAGTGAGGAGGAACGGCCCTCAGCACAGTGGCCAAGTGTCATTGTTTACCCATTTTCCGAGACTAAAGTCGAGCCATCGAATGAACTGAGTTATGGCGAAGCACTAAATCATCCAGCCCGACGAGGGTACGTACGGTTTTTGTTCATCTTCAAATATTTGGACACACATGAGAAATTCCGTTTCACAAGAATAATCATGGCACGACTGTGATAACATGTATTGTAGAGAAGAAATAACAGTTGCGTAATGGTGATACGATAAAAACACTTGTTGCGAATCTAAAATCATGAACTAAGGAGATATGAAAATCTAAAACTGTGTGCTTTTTGATAAGTGTATTTCATTCCCGATAATTAATTACTGCTCCTTCAATTTGTTCAGTGAATTTCAATTATTCTAGGAACATGTGGTTTTAGGAGGAAATGTCGAGATAACTTTCAGTGGGAAATTTTACAATGATGAAATTTTTTATAAGAAGTCATTCTTTTCTGAGATAATTGCACAATTAATGGAGATCTTATCAGTTTTTTTCATTTCGTCTCACCCTTTAAATAGTTATCTTCAGTAATTTTTACATTACATCAACATAAGTAATTTAACAAGAAACAAGCAGCGCGACGGATGCCATTTGACAGATTATATATGACTGCTCCTCTCTACGTATTTTTTTCTCCTATTTTCATTTCTACCAATTTTATGGGCAGTGGGTTTCCGAATGGATCCCAATGTATTTTTATTTTTTGAAAATATTAAGGCCAATCCCACTCATACTTCATCACAAAAGATGAATTTTTTGTTCTCAAGATTTTTGAGTGAGTTGTTTCATCTCAAGAACTATCAGATATATCGACCCAAAATTTGATATAGGAATGTTCCTTGATAATCCTAACTAGAAGCCAAAGTTTCAAAGGGTTTCCCTGACTTTTATCCACGTCCTTAAAAAATTGAAAAATTATTTTCTCTTATGCATTGCATCAAAATATGTAATTTAACAAGAAACAAGCAGCGCGACGGAAGCCATTTGAGAGGTTACATATGACTACAACTCTCCACGTATTTTCTTTCCCCTATTTTCATTTCTTCGCTTTTGAGCAAAAAAGTTTCACATACAAAGTTGAATATTTCTAAAACTACTGGTTCGATTCCGTTCATCCAGAATTCCTAACTTTGTTACCATAAGACCTAAAACCATACCAAGTTTCAAGTTTCTATCTGAATTATTTTTTAAATTATCGTGCGAAAAAGCAATTTCCGAGAAAAAAATTAAGATACGAGAATTAAACTACATTGCTCATGGTGCGATGGTGTTTTTTCAATTCAATTAAATAGGCATCATCATGACGAGTATTTTGACAAAAAAATCGGATCGGTCGAATGGTTCGGGAGATATCGGCAAAAAACGATTTTCGAAGAATCGCTATATCTAAATTTGAGTCTCAGTGGTACCAATTACCAGCCAGAATTTCAGCTTTTGTCTTTGCCTCAATAATTCTCAAGTTATGGGGACAGTTCTGAACATACGAAACACATGTGCACACACATACAAACATTTTTTAAAAACATCATTTCTTCACGTTTCATATTTCTAGCCATTTCCACCCAAAATTAAGAAATCTAAAATATTACGATTACATCCCCATAAAAAAAATATATAAAAAAATGTATCGAATTTGCGCCAATTCCATATATTTTTCAGATTTATAAAGAATTTATAAAAAAATAGAAAACATACATTTTATACATTTAAAAAAATATAAATTGGACCAATTTAAGACATTTTTAAAATATATTTCTCAAAATATAAATTTTTCCGTGTAGACCAAGCTTCCATTCGAAAGCAAAATTGAGAGACTCCCTTTAAAAATCACTGCATTAATTGTCATTAATAACATCTGAGGAAAAAAGAAGATTCAATTCCATCGATTCAGTAGCGAGTAATCGACGAAAAATTTGTTTACATACGCACGCACATACACATTTTGGTCTTTTTGCATCGTAATGGGTCGATATAGCACGAAAAATCTAAAACTTAAATTTGCACGATTACAAAGCTTCCATTCGGAAGCAAAAAATATAATTGCTAACGAATTGTTATGATATTCAGGGAGGACAATACATCAGTACCAGAGGCTGCCTACTGGAGTGCACCGCGCCAGCATTTATCATCAACCCCAGAAGTTAAACACGAGTCTGAGGTTTACAGTACCCACAATAATCACACCCACAGCGATGAAACACCACCGCCAACACCACCCGAGGAGGACAAGGACAAGTTTAAGTGTCTTTATCTGCTAGTGGAGGCGGCGGTCGCCGTCAGACAGCAGGAGAAGGAGCGTGAGGCCACTGTAACCGTTTAACAAAACATTTATATCGTCGAGAGAGAGAAGTGAAATCAACTATTGAAGCCATGAAGCCCGTTGTACCCCGGACTTTGGTGTCTAGAGTCGTTCGAACATTGTTGGGAATATTTTTGGTGGTTCTATTCATCATCTTTACGATATCGAGGGATTTTTTTGGCTTCTCTCGAGGCCTCGGTGTCGCTGTTCAGTGAACATTACGTTTGTGGAAGATATCGTTCAACTCTTTCATTCAATATTTTTTATCTGATCGAGTTATCAAGAGTAGTTTGACGTTATCACTAGTACAGTTTATCTGTTTGTGGTTGTTGAGAGTGAGAATGCGCGAGATGATTTTTTTTTGGGAATAACTGGGGGAATTGAGGGGGAATTGTTGGGTGAGGATTTTTCCATTATTGAGGATGTCTCTGGGGGAAGCGGTTTATGGATAATTGGCAGGAGATTTCTTTTTGGCGATTTGGTAAACTGAAACAATGGCTTTTTGATATTTTTCGATAAAAACCTGTTCTTGTTCAAGAAAAATTTGGAATTATCTCCAGAATGAGGAGTTTTAACGAAAAATGTCAGAATAGCTTTTTTGAAGATCTGGAATTTTCAGAGAGAAAGTCTCTTTTCACATTTTATCCTAAACTAGCTTGTTAACGAGATAGTTCTCCCTATTGTAAAAAAAATTCACAATTTTGGGGATTTTTTGACTATCAATCGAATCTCTGCAGGGGGTTTAGAAAAAATTGTCGAGAAATCTATTTCGTGAATTTTGTGGTTTACAAAAATTATCTCTTGACATACTACAATAAACACGATGGGTCCAGAGATATTTGGGAAATAGTCTGAGTGTTTTTTTTTTCAATTTGAGTTTATGTTTGAAAAAATATGAAATTATCTCGAGAATGAGGGACTTTAAGAAGTAATATCAAGAACCGTTCCATCCTAAGACCACTCATTAGTGAAATAATGACCTAATTACAAAAACTTCACATCTCAATTCAACTTTTCTTCCACTTATCAATTTCCATTAAAAAAAATCAGTTATCCTCCGAAAAGCATTAGAAATAAAACATTTTGTACATTATCTTTATATTTCCTTAACTAACAACAGAAAAACGCTGATAAAAACGTCAATACGAAATTTTATCGATTTCTCAATCATTTTTTGTTGAATACCTCGGAATCCAAGGGAGATCTCAAAAATTTTCATGAAGACCATTTTTGTAACTCTTGATTTCCTCCGCAAAAACGTCTCCACGAAAATCTTTCCATCTCCCAAAATGGAAATGAACCATTCAAATTCCTTATTTTGTTACTCAAATAATGAATACACCTCGAAAAACCACGAAAAATAGTTCTCAAATTTTCAACATTTCGATAAAAAAAACATGTGCCTTTGTGAGCGTCAATTAAGAGACTAAAATTCGCAGAAATTTTCCAAACGCAATTAAATGGATTGCAGTAATTATCAAAATGCTAACAATGATCGATGAAAACCAGCTCCCTCGAGCCTTTCTCCACCAGTTAAATCCCAACAAAACTTTCTATGAATAAAAATGTTGATGTGAAGATACAAACAATTGTGACAATTATACGTAATTCGGTTATTTAGTGCGTAATTGCTCAGATATTTGTAATAAAAATTGAAGAAAACTAAACTAGGAAGACTCGGGTTTATTTCTACCATGAAATCACCACGACCGAACGTTCACGCAGGATTCCAACGAATTTACAATCTTCATTATGCCATATTAATTATCTTTCATATATTCGGTGGAAACAAATTTAAATTGCGTCCAAATGATGTAATTGATTCGAATATTGACTTCAAATTCAAGACTTTTTTTTCAATGTTTTGAAATTTGCCCCCAAAATCACTCGTCGTCCAGATGATAAAATAATTCATTGATGAATGCACAATTTAAATTAAAGAACATGTTAGTGACGCCATTATTGTGTTAATAACTGGGTTTAGCAAGTGTCTAGCAATTATTTTTCTGTGAAAATTGAATCTGGAAAAAAAAATTTTGCAGCTTGAGATAACGTTTTTGGTCATTATGCAGTGAATTGAAAAATGTCAAGACTTTTTTCGGGGAGAATTGAATTTTCTATTGATAATGTCTTAAAATTGTCCCCGAAAAGCACTCGTTACCAAAAATATTTGATAATTAATGGGACAATGCTCAATTGAAAGGAAACAACATGTTAATAATGCAGTTACTTCGATAATGAGTAGATTTAGCATTGAATTTTTTTTATGAAAAGTGAATTATGTACAAAATATGTCTAGACATTTTCAACAAAAATCACTTGTCGTTGAGATGATGAATATCATTTTTTCGCAATTCAAAATAACTGTTTTCGTAATTATGTCAGTAATTAATGAATTTAGCGGCAGGAGTCAAGACTTTTTTTGCGGAAAATTGAATTTGTTACAAAAAATGTCTTGAAATTTGCTCCCAAAATCACTCCTCATTCATAAATGATGCACGATTAGAGGGAACTAACATGTTTTTTAATTATGAAATTATCTTTGCAATGAATAGGTCAAGAGAAAAATGTCACCAGACGTTTTTTGCATCTGAAAAAAATTCCTAAGAAATCTCTTGGCATTTTTTCCTACAACGACTCATTACTGAGATAATTTCATAGTTCATTGGAAGAATCAGATGAGCCAATTTAGCCAATTTCATAATTTCGATGCGTAGAAAATAGTCCTGAATCTCTTGAGGATCGAATCACAATTTATCGGTCCTCAGACGAAAGATGCTCAAAACGAAATTCCTCGTTGCCTTCCCCACTAGTAATTCTCCATATACCTTTATTTTTAGTGAAGTAAAAATTATTTTTCCACGTTCGAAATTTCTTTTCTACCAAAAATATTTTTTGATTCCATTTCTTATTGTTTTGTTCCTCAGTTCAAGCCCCATTCAGATTCTTGGTGTCCGGAGAATTAACAGATTCAAGAGGTTAAGTGGTAAATCCTTTAACAAACTCGAAATATGAATTTGTTTTTTTAATTTCTTAATTAAATTGACAACCAAGCGTTGTAGAGAAAAACGACAAAAGATTTTTCACCTGGAAAACTCAATTCCCACCAAAAATGTATTTTGGCTTTTTTCTCTAGAGCCGTTCGTTCTCGAGATATTTAGATAGTAATTAACAAAATTTTTCATGTGATTTGTGACTCGTCATTGTTAATTACCTAGTTATCTCCGTAATGAGTGGTTTTGAGAGAAAAATTCATGAGACCTTTTTTGTAAAGAATTCGATTTCCCACAAAAAAGGTCTAATGACATTTTCTGGTAGAACTACTCCCCGTTGAGATAATGGCGAATTTACAAAAATATGAAAAATCCCCTCACTACCACTTCACCCCTGAATTCAATTGAGAAACAAATCAAAAGAAAAAAACACAAAAGCAAAAAAACTGTTATCCGTTATCAAAAATATATATCATGGAAAGATTGGTACAAATGCCAAAGACTTACTTAACTAATAGTAATTAACTAATTAATTTTTGCGAATTCAGTTGATCGTTTGATTATTAATTTCGTGAGAGTGAAAGAGCATTAACATGAGTGTGATTAGTGATTGAATGTTCCAAAAAAAATCACTCCTTTTTTTAAATAAATAGACATTGAAAAAAAAATCCTTCGTTTTGCAACCACGAAAAATCGAGACGAAGCGATTGAAAAAAAATTGAAAAATGTACAAATTAACAACTCAAATTATTTTATTTACTACTTATACCAATCTTCGTGGTCGTAGAATAGTTCCATCTAGCATTAAGAATTTATTTTCAATTTTTTAATGAGCAAAACGCTCAACAGAAACTCGCATTTGCGATGAAAAACGGTAAAGATGAACGATAAATCGACAAAAACTAATTATACAATTCAATTTATCGTTCATTGATGATCGAGTGCTGATTAATCATCATCACTTTGGTGTCGTATACTTAAAATGAAAATAATTGACCTCAATAATTACCATCATAATTAATAAAAGGCAAACAGACAAAAAAAACGCTCAGAGAAGATTAAAAACAACAGAATGACTAATTAACATTAGTTCTTGATACGTTTTTAACAAGAGTGACGGATATTTTCGTAATGAACAATTAATAATCAATAGGGAGGATGATTAAGTCATCTCAGATGCTGTTGATGTTATTACTGGACAATTTTAACGTTAAAAAAAGAACAATATTGTTAACTATTTGAATAAAACGAGAAAGCGTGATTGGGAGTCTCATAGGTACGACGAATAGTGTAAAATAGTGCAAGATGTATGAGTTCTTAGGGTTTTAAAACATTTGTACAAAATTGAAAATGAGGAGATGAATGAGGGAATTCATTGAGAAATAATTCATGTGTTGAAGTGATGAGATCTTTGTTAATTAATATTTTTAAACTCAAAAAATTCTCCCCAAAAAAGTGAGATAATTAAAAAAATGAATAATTGATGCATTCTTTGATTGACGTGAATTCCAATTAACGAATTGGACATTTTGTTAATCTGGGGAAATTTTTTCCCTTCAATCACTCATTACCAAAGGAATTGCGTAATGAAGAAAAATTCCGTTTCGACTTTTCAGGTTTCTCATTTGTACTACAGCTTTTATAATTAACAACGAGATAATCCCTTTGATACATAATTATTCCGAAGAAAAAACCAGTTGTCACTGCCGCTTGAGCGTTCAAAGTGTCTTAATTAAAATTAATCTCCAATCTATGAAAGAAAATAAAAAATAAAATTCGTATTAGAGTTCTAGGGATGAAGAACTCAATAGAAAGTGGCGTATTAATTCGAGAACTCGAGGTTCTCGTATTTGTAATGAGATAAATATTAAGAATGCTATGAATAGAGTAAGAATATGCGTATAGGGTGCCTTTGTTTACATTTTGTTTATAATTTGTTTATAGTTCTTCCACACAAACGAAAAATAAGAGAAAACAATTTTTCAATTTCTCAGATAAATGAAAACGTGAATTGAGTGATTTACCAAGAGAAATTATTTGTTAAAAATAACTTTTCTTTTTTGTTTAATTTAAAATTCATTACGAGAGTTGGAATCATTTGGTAAATCATTGATAATTAAGTTTTAAGTATTTTTTAAACGATAATAATAGCTGATATAAAATAAAGACGATTAAAATGCTCTTCCTGAATTATTGAGAGACTAAAGTGAATCAATTTATCAATGCAATTTATCCAGTTACATTTATTAATGCAAATTTTCTGTTTTTTTGAGAAGATGATGGAGAGTCGAGGTGAATTAGCGTTGAGCTACTTGTCCACTGGATTTTTTATACCGAAAAATTTTATCAAAAGTGTTTGATGATAGAAAAGGAGTCATTTATCGATGAGAAATTTAAGCACAAGGGGGTTTTTTCCAAGGGATAATTGTGATGTGATGTAAAAGGAGATGATTCCAAGTACTTCATTTATCATTCTACGAGTATCTTGGAAAATAGTGGCCTCAGGGAAAATGTTCTTGACATTTTTTTTTCATAAATCCACCAGTTTCTGAAATACTCAAGTAAAAAATCAGCCTTTGGAGTCACAATCTCTCATCATCATCATCACTTGGATCGAACCAAACGCAACAAGTAGAGACGCCTGATGTGTAATCTGCGCCTAGACGCATGTAAAAATTGCTCTCACCTATGAATAAACTTACTAGTTCATAAAGCTGTAGCAGGATTTAATTCTCAACGACATATTCATGCATAGACAATAATTCATACCTACGATTAAATCCTCTTTTTTAGTTTTACTACGTAATGTACAGGTGCCATAAGTGAACGGACGATCGTAATTTGGTCACTATTATCCGAATGATTGGGAAATCTTAACACAACGGTAACGATGTAATCCATAAGCAATTGTTTTTTTTGTTTCATCTTTCATTATTTTTCTCTATTTTTACGAAAAAAAATTGTTACGTCGAGCAGGACATGATTTAGAGGTGGGCCTTTTCAATTCCTCGACGCAAGTGGCGATTAGAGGAGCAAGGGGGATCTTTAAGTCATGCAAATGCTGATTATTAACGTAATCTAGGAGTAATGGTATTATATTTCATTATTATTCGATTCGCAGACCTACAATAAAGCATGTTGTGAATTTTATTTTAGTGGTGAGATTTTTATTTCATTGAACCTGTGGTTTATGTCCTGATGTGGTGGGGGGAGTTCCGGGGGAATTTAATATTTTCGTGAGATTAATTTTCAAGTTTTTTCTAATTAGGTGATGTGATGATTGAGGAAGGAAGAGATTAATTGCTTTCTTGACATTTTTTTTATGAACTCAGACTGAGAGAGAACAGAAGCATGAAATCATGTCATTAAATCCTGAATTAGTGACTGAAAATGAAGTCGCACGAGCCGATTTTACAGCCCTCGGGAGAACCTGCTGCTGGTTGAGTAGCACTTCCTCAACGCAAGTGGTGATTAGAGGAGCAAGGGGGATCTTTAAGGGTGCCAAGTGAATTTGGAAAAAGATTCAAAAAAAAGTTTTTCTTTCCCTCCATCATTGGAGAAATATGTATTCATCCATCCGAAGAAATTTCAAACCCGCAACCGGAACTAGACATCGAGAAAATAAATGCGGAAAATCCTCTATTTCGCGTGACGAATCTCGAGAAAACATGGGATCGAATGGGTACGGCGGGTTGAAATATCTCTCTTATTCACCCCGGTACCCCATTGTTTTTTGTCGCCATCACATTGAACATATCATTCCCCATATCTTCAAATTTTTTCAAATTTTTCTTGAGTTCCTAGGGGGTTGAAACGTTCAATTTAATCAAAACTCCATAAGAGGCCGTGTATAAGACTGATTTTGTTTATTTAATTTCTCGATATCCATAAGTTCTAAAATTTTAAAATTGTCACCGATGTTCACCATCTGTCTAATACTATTAATTTAAAAAATTATAACTTTGTTGGTGAATGTCAATTTTCAATCATCGCCAAATTCACTTGGCACCCTTAAGATATTAGGAGGCTTCGCTCGCTAACCTCCAGGGGGCTTTGCTCTCGCCATCTCCTTGAGTTCAAATAAAGATCGGAAATACCTCGCCTGTATCACGAGCGATACACGCAAAACCCTATGAGCGGCATTGGAATCGTGCCGAGCGGTATTACCCGACGGCGGGTAGTACCGCTCAATAGGCTCTCTCTTTTATTTTCAATCAATTTTGTGGATTCTAAGGAGAATTAGGCGTCTACACTTCGAGAATAACGAGTTCAATAGTTAAAGAAGTCTCACAAATACATTTTTTATACTCAAGTTGAAATATAAAATATAAAACTGGCATTTCCCCTTAGGTGGGCGGTACAGGCACACCCTCCCCTACCTTCCATTTTTTATTTATATTTTTGGAGTCTTTTAGTAGGGGAATTATAAATTTTCACATAAATCCCGATAAGAGCCCGTGTACAATGAAAAATTTGTTTATTTATTTCTGACGAGACTATTACGATTAATTTTTTTAAACATCAACGAAGTGAGTTTCACATGTTCGGCTATCAGGCAAAAAAATTATATAATTTTCTAGCGAGTTGGCCAAGTTTTTTTATTGAATTTTTTCACACGTGTTCACCCATGAAACCTGCCGTAAATTTTGAATATTCATCACTAAATGAAACTCGATCGATAGAAATTAAAAGCATGCATCTAATTGAAATCATACCACGTTCCACTGGCTAAGATTAAAAGGCATGTATTACATACGTGACGGTTCGCCGGTTGCTGACGAGGAGGGGGTTTCGATTCTCCGGGGTAAAGTGGGATGTGTGAATAGGATGACTGCAGTCTGAAAGCCGACGTCGTGGAAGACACTGATGATACCTCACCTTTCCACATAAGTTGATAACAAAATCACAAATTATCGCTCTAAAAAAAAATCAAACATTCAATTTCCAAGGAAAAAAAAACCAACTTGAATTATCTTTTCACAAATCAATGTAAATGAGTAAAAAAAATGAGCAATAATTATTACGACTAAAATAACAGTAATTGTTGTAAAATGTGTAAATATCCGAATAAACCAATTAACCAAATTAAACGAATCCAATGCACCCAGTGACCGGTTAATTAAGTTCGTAATAAAAAACGTTAGAGTGATTTAATTAAAATCAGTTGTATTCTCCTCGCACAATAGTTGGTGAAAAATTTCATTAGGCACGAAGTGAAGATTTGAAAAAAATAATAGGGAGGAAGTGCGAGCCGGCAGGCAGCAATTATGCCATAGTCCTGGTTAGCCAGTGTGCATCAAAATTACTCCTTACACCGTCATAGACACTGCACTCTACCCGCTGCGCCTCCACTTATCAACAAAATATATTTTATTGAGGTGAGTTTACACTGTGGTGCAACGAGCCGTGAGCCATAAATTGCCATGGAAAATTTGTTTTTCACGGTTTTCATGAGTTATTTGGGGGTTTGAGGGTCGAGCGAGTCTTAGAGAAAAATTGGGTGATGAGGGTGAAACGGATCTTATCGCCTCATTTACATGTGAGAAGCTCCCTTTCCTCAGTCAAATTTTAAATGTAGGGGAGGGTGGGGTAAAACGGACACTTTTGACTTTTTTTAAATTATTCATCACTCAGAAACAAATTGATCAATTTAGCTCAGTTCAGGCTCATCACAAAGAGAAAGAATTGTTCTTTGTATTGAAAAAAAAATTGTTAAATTTTATCAACACTTCAACCCCCCATTAACGTTTTAAAAAAGTCAAACGTGTCCGTTTTATCCCAACCTCCCCTATGATATTTCGAACACTCATAAATGCATTAAAAACGGATGATGGATAGGAATAAAAAATGAATCACTGATAAAGATGAATGATAAGAATGAAAAATTAATGAATAGTTTTGAATCTTCGGTGAATTTAGTTAATAAGGAAAGTTGAAGACGCCAATGAACAGTGATTTATTGAAAAATAAGAGAGAAAAATCCTATTCACATCAAGTGGTGCCACTACAGAGTGAATTCTTAAGCGACTCATTGGCAGTTTCGGCATATTTCGATAGAAAAAAACTTCAAGAAAACTTTCATCTTTTATAAATAAGATTTCAACCCCTCATTAACGTTTTAAAAATGTCAAAAGTGTCCGTTTTACCCCAACCTCCCCTATGATATTTCAAACACTCATAAATGCATTAAAAAACGGATGATGGATAGGAATAAAAAATCAATCACTGATAAAGATGAACGATAAGTGAAAAATTAATGAATAGTTTTGAATCTTTGATGAATTTAGTTAATAAGAAAAGTTGAAGACGCCAATGAACAGTGATTTATTGAAGAACAAGAGAAAAAAATCCTATTCACATCAAGTTGTGCCACTACAGAGTGAATTCTTAAGCGACTCATTGGCAGTTTCGGTATATTTCGATAGAAAACAACTTCAAGAAAACTTTCATCTTTTATAAATAAGAGTCATCTTTTCTAGATAGGATTATTATGTATTGATTGCGAGACTATTTTTGGATCTTGTCATCTGGTTATACCTGACTGTGAAACGATAACCATTGGCGATTGAGGGATAAAATTGTGAAGAAGAAGAAAAATCGATTGTTTGAATGATTGACTATTGCTTTCAGTGAAGAATAGTGACATTAATTCAATTTTTCATGGTTCTATTCGCTTATTTATAGGGTTAATAGTCTTGAAGGAATTGTGTAATGGAGTGACAAGAGGTAGGAGTCAACAGGGGATGGGGGCAAAATAAAGCACCATGAAAGACGACTATTTAGCCGAATTCAGAAAATTTTTTTGTTAATTTTAGTTGAGGGTCAAATGCTCGTAAGGGTGAAACGACCATTAAAACATTTGAAGTTGAGAGTCAAATTGTTTTAATGAGTAAGAGACCCTTAATGGGTTTCCGGGATAAAGGTCAAATGGTCGTAAGGGTCAAACGACCCTTAATGATGGCAGGTGTTGAGGGTCAAATTCCCGTAAGGGTCAAACGACCCTTAATGGCGGCCCGTGTCGAAGGTCAAATGGTCGTAAGGGTCAAACGACCCTTAATGACGGCCGGTGTTGAGGATCAAATGCTCGTAAGGGTCAAACGACCATCAAGAACGGCTGGTGTCGAGGGTCAAATGCTCATAAGGGTCAAACGACCCTTAATGACGGCCGGTGTCGACGGACAAATGGTCATAAGGGTCAAACGACCCTTACTGATGACCGGTGTTGAGGTTCAAATGCCCGTAAGGGTCACACGACCCTTAATGGCGGCCCGTGTCGAAGGTCAAATGGTCGTAAGGGTCAAACGACCCTTAATGACGGCCGGTGTTGAGGATCAAATGCTCGTAAGGGTCAAACGACCATTAAGAACGGCTGGTGTCGAGGGTCAAATGCTCATAAGGGTCAAACGACCCTTAATGACGGCCGGTGTCGACGGACAAATGGTCGTAAGGGTCAAACGACCCTTACTGATGACCGGTGTTGAGGGTCAAATGCCCGTAAGGGTCACACGACCCTTAATGACGGCCGGTGTTGAGGATCAAATGCTCGTAAGGGTCAAACGACCATTAAGAACGGCCGGTGTTGAGGGTCAAATGCTCGTAAGGGTCAAACGACCCTTAATGACTGCCGGTGTTGGGAATCAAATGGTCGTAAGGGTTAAACGACCATTAAAAACATTCGCAGTTGAGAGTCAAATTGTCTTAACGAGTAAATGACCCTTAATGAGTTTCCGGCGTAAGGGTCAAATTCTCGTAAGGGCCAAACGCTCTGTAAGAACGTTCAAAGTTGAGAGACATTCGCATATGAAGTGAAAACGTACCTGCTGTGAAAATGTGCGAAGAACGATGTAGCTGCGCGGAAATATCGAGAGAATTGCAAAGTTTTATAGGTCCAGTTATAATTTCGGGAGTATTGAGGATGCGTAAGTAATGCCGGTTAGTCCCGCACATTGCTCTGCTTCCAGGGCACGTTTCAGTGAACGATTGCGACCCGTTTTTTTTCTCATTTATTTTTCCCGGTGCAGAGCCAGACAAAACTGGAACGTGTTGTCCCCCACCCGGTCACTTGGCTTCTTTCGGCTTGAGACATTTTTTATTCATCGAATAATTCAGGGAATCGCTGTATTATGGTATATCATCTTGACTTTAATGGA